GTTTTTTTATAAGATTATTTTTCGAGGTCAAACCTGGTGATGCGGGTGAGATCGTCTACCTACAGTATTTTTACTTTTTTCTTGAAAATGGTAATATATATTTTAATTTGACGCAAAATATTGTTTATATATATATATTTATATCTATTATGTATATATATTGTTATTTATATATATTCATTTCATTTCAGACATTCATTTATAACATTCATTTTATATTATTTATATATTTTTATTATATTTTATATATTTATATTATATTTTATATACATTCATTTCATTACAACATTTCATCGTTATATGAAAATGGTAATATATATTTTAATTTGATGCAAAATATTGTTTATATATATTATATATGTATACATATACATGTTAAATTACTAAGGATATTGCTATAATTTAATTAATACAATAAAATTCTGAAAAACCACAACAATGCGATTCCTTTTTCAAAATTTTCACGATTCTTTTTTGACTCGACATCAGCCAGAATATTATCAAGTCAAAAATATGCATTAACATCTAATAAATCGTGGTGGCCAGCATTTTTTTTATACAAAATGTTCTCCTCATGGAGTTTTTATATTCTCGTATGTAGAAATTGAATACTGATCATTTTTTGTTGGAAATCATTTTTTGCCAGGTCATCGGAAATGTCCGAAAAATCGTAGTTACTTTTTAAATTTGATACGTGCGTTCAGTGCACAGCGATATAAATCGAAAAAATAAAATGACGTGCAACGTCTAGTTATAAAATCGACATATTTTTAAAAACCGCAAGAAACTGCTGTTAAAAACATTCTCTTAGAAGCCTTGTTAAAGTTTAAATTGTTAGAAATCTAGCATTCTTCCTACATGGGCTAAAAAGTGCATATTGATTTTTTGTAGCGAGTAATTCAAACAATTAGTTTTAATCTTAATTTTATATTTCTACATTCATAACGCCGTATCTAATTACAGAGACATGTAAGGTCGTTAATGTTAGGATTTCGAAGTTCCAAGGAGTTGTCAATATACATATAGGAAAAAGAATTATTTTTCTTTCTTAATTAATTTATTTAATGTCACATTTGCTTAATGGCAATTATCGACCACTTGTGTAACCACAAGTGTAGGCTTACATGTGGATGTAATATACAAGAGTTTCTCCATTAGATTATTTGTATTGAACACTATGGCTTCAACATTATCGTCTTAATCTGGGTTCCTGAAGTAAATAGGATGTAACTTTTTCTATATGTTTATAGTTGTCCAAACATTCAAGAAGAATTTTGTTCCAATGTGAAAGTTGAAAAATTGAATTTTGATCACAAATTATTGTCTCCCAGACCACTGTGAGACACAAGGACATCTCGCGGAAAAACTTGGCAGCTATCAGTGGGTCATGGAGCGTGCGTGACCATGACCATTCGAAAGCGAAAGAGCAGGAAAAGCTTTAGCCCAAGGAAAAATGAAATTTCCGCGGTCGTTTTCTTACGCTACCCAATCCAATCTACGGCTCAATGGCGATGGCAGTGCCCATTGCATCATCAGAGAGAGAGAGAGAGAGAGAGAGAGAGAGAGAGAGAGAAAAAGAGAGAAAAAGAAAGAAAGAGAGAAAGAAAGAGAGAGAGAGAGAGAAAAAAAGAGAGAAAAAGAAAGAGAGAGAGAGAGGAAAAGTTAGAGCGAAAGAGAGTGAGAGAGAGAAAGAGAGTGAGAGAGGGTGGTGTCAGCGAGCAAGGAGGAAGAAAAGTAGTTCTTCTAGCCGTCGCATACTGACACAGTGCTGCAAGGGTCCGCAAATAAATTGTTCCTCCTCCTTTGGTTCTTGGCCTCTCCTCGTCCTTTCTTCTCTCTGTTCGTCTCGCTTTTTCCATCCTCGTTGAAATAAAGAACGAGCGTAAGTGTCTGCCTCAGTGCGAGGTCTTTTGTTCCTGTTCTCTGTTAACCCTCTAGCTGTATACAGGGTGTCCTAGCTGTCATGACCATTGGAAATGTGTCTCCGCATTTTAAACACATGCGAAACTAGTTTAGACTCTATAGAAATGATCTCAGATCTACAGTGTTACGCTATGAATCTCAGTGCATGTTGCTGTATTTTAAACTGAAACCGAGCAAATCAAAATAAGTGGTTTCTGTTCTTTTCTTTTTCAATTTCTGATACTATAAAAATGTTCCTATGTGAAATTTTCAGGTAAACTTCTTTACTGAAGCATATAATTAAACTATTATCTAATAAAATTATCTGCATTAATTGCACGGCGTGGGAGCTATGAGCAATTTTTCTTCTTTCTTAAATCATTTTTATAAATCAAAATTAATACATCAATATTTTCTTTTTATTTTTTATATAAATTTCTTCCCTATTTTATATGTCACTGTCCCATTTTTGTCATAAGTTTTAGTACATCCAATCTTGTTATTGTTATAAGACAATATATTACTCGCGTTTAGGACTCAGTAATATTAAGAGAGAGAGTTAAATATTTTTCTTTCTTAAATTATTTTTATAGATTATAATGTATACATCAACATTTTCAGTTTAATTTAATTTGTTCTCTATTTTGAATTTCACCATTCCATCTTTGTCACAAATGCATAAAATCGACAGTCTAATTATAATAGAAATCGTATGAAGTTTTAGAACATACAAGTCATTGTTTTAAGACAACATACACTAATGTGTTTACAATAAGTTTACAACCCGGTAGTATTAACATGTTGAACGCCATGTCACCCATATCTGGGTGCTATGTTTCCGCACTCTTCGTCCAATTAAAGCAGGATTTTGGAGGTAATTTATAGTAATTTCATTTGGAACACAACTATGACGAGTATAGACAACATAGGGTAAAGTATAAATTAAACAAAAACAAACATTAAATATATACTTACACTAATAATAAAATAAAATAATAAAATATATCTATACTAACAAATTATACTTATATTTAAATTTGTTTTTAAAGTATTATAAGATTTTATTAGTTACGATAGAATTCGTTAAAACATTGTAAACATAATTGGGATGACTCTGGACACTCAGGACAATACGTTATAGCCTTTTGTAAAATTTTTTTTGCTTCGTGGCGCCGCGCCGGGAGAAACTCTACCGATTCACGCTGGGCGTTCAACACGTTAAGACAGAATTAAATAGAAATTTTGAGAAATCGAGAATAAACTGAGGATCTACTGTTTTAATATTCCGAGTGTCTGTTTAATATTTTATGCAGATGTAAGATCAAGAGCCAAGCTGCCAGATCTGTGAGATTTGTCATGCAATCTGGAAAACTAATTTCTTATCGACGATAGTTCAAACCTTGAACATGAAATTCAAGGAATGTTATCTCTATTATCGATAGATATATGTAATCGTGCCGTAACGAAAAAGGTGAGAATTATCTTGAGATACGAGAAAGGGTCATGTCCTCGGAGCTTAAGCAAGGCCATATTTACGAAAGAAATCGTTGCATTACCTAAATTAGGGTTTTTAATGTGTACAACAGTTTAGAGTGATGAATGGAATTTGAGTGCTATAAATATTATGCAATTGTTGAATATCTAAATAGTTTTTTAAACATATTTCTGAAATATTTATTATTATGTTTTCCTCCAGCATCATAAGAAACTATAACTTAAAGATAAATCGATCGATTAATTTCGAGCAAAGCGCAATGAGACTGCGGATCAACAATATTTTGAAATTGTGTTAACGTTATCAGGGTTTTATATTTCACTCACACATTTTTACTGTAAACGTATAAAATTAGCAAATGGCTAACATCAACATTATCTATTACACGTAATGGAAGTGACATTTATTTATATAGTAGTCTATCTTTTTCAGTCACTTGGTAATTAATTTGTAGTTTACTGACTTATGAAAGGTTGATCTTTTATCAACTTCATTATTTTACACAATTTGAACACTTTCCTTTCAATTCAGATTTTAGTATCTCATTCCATATCTCTCACCTTAACTGGTGTGACTTCTAATTCATTCTTCATTCATTAATTCTACTTCATTCATTTTTATTATTCATATNGTGCCATTTGTTTATTTAGTTCAATTGTCTATCTTTTTCAGTCACTTGATAATTAATTTGCAGTTTACTGACTTATGAAAGGTTGCTCTTATATCAATTTCATTATTTTACACAATCTGAACATTCACTTTTCTATTCAGATTTTAGTATTTCATTATTCATATTTATTCATGTTTATTATTTATTCATTCATATTTTCATTCAATTATATTTTATTTAATTTCGTACTAAAAACTTAATTTTTCATGTTTTTATCATTCTTTATACTAGTTAAGAAATATAATGAATACAGCTTTTAAATAGAAAATGTAATATGTCTTATTCGATAAATATAGAGTCAATTATGTCTGCAAACAAACTAAAGGCACATCCTCCTTTATATTTGGAATAATGGAAAATAGAAATATATAAATATGATATCTTGTTAAAGTTTTCGTTTAGATATCAGTAACAATGTAAAAGTTATTTTGAGTCTATAATTCTGTGGCTGTAAGGAAAATCGCAACATATCACAGTATCACAAAATTTTAGTCCACGCATCAATTCAGTAATCATAAAAATAAATTCGGTAGGCTCAGACAAAATAATGCAATTCGAAACACAACCAATATGAAACATCAGTGATCGGAATTTTAAACGACAACATCTCGAAAGTGACGAGAAGTTGCATCGATATTTTATATTCTAAAAAAATTGCTGAAAGTCATTCTTATTTGTACGGTTTACTCGAGGCTCGCCCCTTACTATTAACATATCCGTAGATACCATCGAAAGTAATCGAGGTCCGCAGGGTCACGTAAGCTGGGACACCCTGTATCTCTGCCCGCTAGCGACCACCTATCTCTCCTACTCCGATGGACGTTCTCCTCTCTCGCAAACTTTTGCTGGCCTGCTCCTCTCTCTGACCCGTTAAAATAGACAAGCGAGCCTTCTTTCCCGGCCAAAGTCACAGATATCACCGGCCGATTCTGCAGTGGACGGTCCACGAGCAACAACAGTTCACCTCCGATCCGCGAGCTAGCCGCTTCTGTCCGGCGTGCACGCGTCAGACGCGCGGGATCTGCTTGGAACTCGATCCGTATGGACCAGATTTACGCTCGGTGGTCTACGGAGACCAGCCGCTCGTTTAGACACCGTTCCGCCGCGCCGTGGCCACCGTCGGGGACCGTCGGGAATCGTTGCTAATTTTTTTTCACGAACCCGTGAACGGCTCCTTCGCGAACAAACACGACGTCGACGCGTTTAATGGACCGCGATCGATCCGAGTTAGCCACCTTCTCGTGCGCACAGTGCTCATAATCGATCGGCGACTTTGGTGATCGCGGACTTGTTTCCCACGGGCTACAGTTTCAAAAGTTCTTCCGAAGCGCAAGCTCCCCTGTCACCGCGCAAAGTGGATTCGATCGATCGGAGAATCGGTTACTTCGTCGACTCGACTCAGTTCTTCAGGATCTGAAGTCATCTGTGTCCAGTTGCGTTCGAATCTCTTTGTGATCGGAGACGACATTGCTGTCTCGAGTGATAAGATCTCGAGTATCGAGTGATACGCTTTGACCTAGGGGTCTAGTGAACAGTGGACCTGTCGGTGTTACAGTTTTATTAAAGATTCTTAACAGTTTGACGGATCTGCGAATACTTTCGATGACTTTTATCTAAACCGGGTGTTGATTTAAAACTGCATCTGTTTTCGATGCTTTCGAACAGGATTCACAGTGTTAATGATCAGTTGTGAATGAATCCATATGAAATATTAGGTTTGTAATTGGAAATCGAGTGAAAACGAGTGTATCGAAGCATTTGGCGATTTAGTAATTCACAGATTAAGTGTAGCGGACAAAAACGGAGAAACGAAAGCGAGGGATTATGAATCACGTAACGTGTAAAATTATACAGTTAGTCATTGCACCGCGTCTGTGGTAATCAATCTGTGAGTTACTGAATCTTTGAATAATACGGAGCTGGAAGTAGCGAGAGATAATGTTATTGTGTCATAATTGATCGGAATTACCGTCTTGTCAATGGCAAGCGATTCATTATTTGTCCTGATACATATTATCGTTTAGTAAAGCGTTCTCAATAATATTATATGGAAAAATCTATTTGCACGTGACAGGAGCTGCTGCTTGGTTTTGCATCAAGCGGGACGCTTTTATGTTAACCCTTCTAGTACTGGTCGAAAGTGTTGTATAAATCCAGAGTTGGGCAAATTTTACTTGAAATAATAAATAACAAATTACAAATTCAATTAATACTTCATCTGCAAATAATAGTTATTTCTTGTCTACAAATGAAATGTTAGTGTTTATTTAGTTTTTAGAGAAAGACAAATAACAAACAATTTTAGCTTCTCTTTCATCTGTTGTATATTATACAATGGATATTCTGTACACTAGGTTTGCGAATAAAATGTTATTTTTTATTCGAATTTAGGTGAAAAACAAATGATACGTAATTTTTGTTCCTTTCTCGTTCATTGTGTAATAAATATTAATTTCCACTTATTATTACTGANAAATAACAAACAATTTTAGCTTCTCTTTCATCTGTTGTATATTATACAATGGATATTCTGTACACTAGGTTTGCGAATAAAATGTTATTTTTTATTCGAATTTAGGTGAAAAACAAATGATACGTAATTTTTGTTCCTTTCTCGTTCATTGTGTAATAAATATTAATTTCCACTTATTATTACTGANAAATGATGTTCAACACTGCATATATTTAATAGAAGCGAAGAAAACTGAGCCAAGTTGATATAATTTAGTAGGGTTTTTTTAAGTAAAAGTGATAAAGATGTTGTTAAAAATAATAATTAGAAAATCCACAAATGAGCATAGTAAATTTTTTCCAAATGTACCCAGAGCAATGCTGTATCGTTCTTCTGTATTATAAGCGTTGAAATTTTCGAACAACGACTTGAAGTTTTCATTGTAAAATACTTATTATCGTTGCTTAGATCAATTTGCGTGCTGTCTGTGGGTATTTGGAAGTCATTACGTCGGCGAGTTGAGATTGAAAGCATGTTTGTCGATGACGCGAACTTTTGATCGCAATACAGGCGTCCATCGTTTCGTTTCCTTGGACCGATCGAGATTTTTTGCCAGACGGAGATTAAAAGATCTCTTTAACGACCTAGATCGCGACACGTCGGCTGATCTGGAGCAAACGGAACATAGACGCTGCGTAGTAAACGATCAAGGCCCGATTAGTTAGCGGAACAGAAGTTAGACGACGCGTGTTAACCCTCGCGGAGGATTTTCCGCGGTCAGATTCTTGCGAACGGCTCATAGAAAATATCGCTGATCAAATCGCGCTGTGGTTTCCAGAAATATTTCTCCGGGCTGCCTTCAGCGGCAACTGGCATTTCGATGCAGGCACCTCTAATGTCTTGACACAACAAATTACTTCAGTGTTGCAATTAAATTTTAATCAAGCAAGTTATTAATGCACCGAGTGCAGAAATGAATAATTTAAGAATAACTCCAGTTTTGCAATCAAAGTACAGTCATGCGAAATTAATGTATCGAATGTGCTGATGCATAATTCAAGAGTTTTAAAAAGGTAGAACAATTTAAGGGCTGTTTTTCGTTTATTGGAAAATTTGTTAATATGTCGAAAGAAAATNGAGCTGGAAGTAGCGAGAGATAATGTTATTGTGTCATAATTGATCGGAATTACCGTCTTGTCAATGGCAAGCGATTCATTATTTGTCCTGATACATATTATCGTTTAGTAAAGCGTTCTCAATAATATTATATGGAAAAATCTATTTGCACGTGACAGGAGCTGCTGCTTGGTTTTGCATCAAGCGGGACGCTTTTATGTTAACCCTTCTAGTACTGGTCGAAAGTGTTGTATAAATCCAGAGTTGGGCAAATTTTACTTGAAATAATAAATAACAAATTACAAATTCAATTAATACTTCATCTGCAAATAATAGTTATTTCTTGTCTACAAATGAAATGTTAGTGTTTATTTAGTTTTTAGAGAAAGACAAATAACAAACAATTTTAGCTTCTCTTTCATCTGTTGTATATTATACAATGGATATTCTGTACACTAGGTTTGCGAATAAAATGTTATTTTTTATTCGAATTTAGGTGAAAAACAAATGATACGTAATTTTTGTTCCTTTCTCGTTCATTGTGTAATAAATATTAATTTCCACTTATTATTACTGA